GTGTGAAATACTTAGTATCCTCTTGTGCGCCATATAATTTCGTTCGAAATAACCCAAAAAGCCCACTTTTAGAGAATTGAAGCCCAACTTGACTGACCCAATGGTTGAATGATCAACAACTAGAGCTATTTTAGAGGATGTACGTGTGATATGTGAACTCGAACTAGAAAAAGAGAGCAGAGAAATGCAAGCGTCTATTCTTAAATCTTAACACATGTATGATGTATAATCTGAACCAAAGTTATTCGAAGGCCAATTTCGTGGAATATGTGTGAATTGTGATGCATAATCGTGAAGAAGATGGAAATTAATATACCGCAATAATATTATGAATTTTTAGTTAAAAAACAAAATATCATATTCCTTATATATTTGTGTTGAACCATTTCTATTTCTGATATAAAATGTTCTAACACGTCTTCCTAGAATGATGATTTTTTTTTTATCATTTATATTGAAACGAAAAATGGGTTCTGAATTCCAAAAAACACATTCTTTTATTAGACTAGGAGTAAGTTATAAAAGTAAATAATAACGTACCAAAAATGTGTTTTGAATTTATCTTGTATCCTATGGATGGATAAAATATCACAGTGATAAAAAAACACAACATAAATTTCGCTTTTGCTTAATTTGTGATGAATAAAAAAACACAACATAAATTCCGCTTTTGCTTAATTTTAAACTACACATTAATTTTTTGTTTTTAATTTACCAGTGTAGATATTTTAAATTTCCAAACTTTGTTAGATATTGTTCTTATCCAATTTTTCCTTAAAAAAATTAGTCAAAATCTCTATAAATGAATCGTTTCTTTTCCTTATATGCCACAATGCAAGATCAAAGATATTTGTTTAATTTTCAAGCTCTCATTTTTGTGGCAAAAAATCAAACTTTATTTGTAAGTGATAATTCAGCAAATTACTTTAGTTGCCAAAAAAGTAAAATAAAAAAATCTGCAAAATACTTTTAAAATTTTATATTCACGTGATATAAAAATTTTAAGAAAGGCAAAAATTGAGGAAAAAAACGTATAATTCAGGGCCAGGCTCAGTATCCTCGCCGCGGAATCGTCTCTTTCGAGCCTCGAAAGGACTTTCTAGGGTTAGAGAAATCTCCTTTCACCTCTGCTCCAACTGATTTCGATTCTCTTCAGCTCCGATCACTTTTCTAGGTTTCGATTTCCTCTCCCTTGTCTTCTTCTTAATGCCTTGGCTTACTCCTCCTTTTTCTAGGGTTTTAGATCGATTCTTCTGTAAAAGCTTACAACTTTACTGGTGCTTGATTGAATTTCGCATGGAGTAGCGATTTGATGTATTGTTTTTTTTTTTGAAATATTTCCTCCAAGTTGAGTTTTGCGCAGCGTGTTCATTGATGATGATCACATCTTTACCAGTTATCTTCTTCGTTCTTGTGTCCAGCTTGAACGATTTTTCGAAGATTTAGCCAAAAAAATTGTTTTTTTTTCCTTTTTGGGCAAAGCTATTGAGGTTTATTGTTGCTCCTACATGTTTCTTAGGGATACAAATTTTTCTTCAACAGAAATGTTGAGTCTTTAGCAGATTTTTAACACTAGTTTGATATATATTTTTTCTTTTTTTTTCAGGTTTTCAAAGGATGGGACACAATGGTAAAGATGCAATTATGGTCGAAGCATCTCAATGCGCTAGTGCTATGGTTGAGATAAAGATCAAGACTTTGGATTCTCAAACGTACACCTTACGCGTAGATAAATGTGTAAGATGAACTTCGCAATAGACATTTCTTTGATGTTTCATTTTCTCCATCACGATTTCTTGTTGTTTATATCATAAAGTTTGTTTTCACCTTATTCTCATTTTGAGCATACTACCTGTACGATTGTCTTTCATCGCATCCATGTGTTGCACAATGATGTTTCTTATCTATAAGATCAATGCTTTGACTAAAATCGTGGAACTAATGCCTTATATGTAGCCTTTAATAGCCTTTCTTATATTTTCCTTATGTTTTTCTTGTTTCATTTCAGGTCCCTGTTCCCGCATTGAAGGAGCAAATTGCCTCCGTTACCGGCGTTGTTACAGAACAACAACGCTTGATATGCCGTGGGAAAGTTTTGAAGGATGATCAACTCCTATCAGCTTATCGTATCCTTATGTTCTTCCCGTCATATTGCCTTAGCTCTTTCTTAGAGCTTTCCTTTCAGTTGTGAACCGTAGTTTACTGATATAGTTTGTGTCAAACCCCTGGTTTTGAGTTCCAGTGTCGTATGATAGCCTGTAATTTCTTTTCATTTTCTGGATAAAATTCTTTAATGGGTTAATGTTAGATGTTGAAGATGGCCACACTCTGCATTTGGTTGTCAGACAACCCATTCCACCATTATCAGAGAGTTCTACTAGTAATGCAGGTTAGTTCCAAGTTCCCTGCAAATTTCTGATCCCAAAAATTGCTCCCAAACATCTTTAATATATCTATTCTCATGATATTGTTTAATTATCTGCTAAGGCTTTTTATGAAATTATATTTCGACATGCTAAGTGGAGAACTTGTTTTTTAGCGGCTGATCCTGCTTTGAGTGCTGGTGACAGCCAGGGCAGTCAACGATCACGAGTTTTAGTTGGATCCTTCAACATTGCTGAACAAGGAGACGGAGCCTATTCGGATCTTGGTCAGGTGGGCCCTCTTTTATCTGTTTGATCTGTTGGATGAGGTGTGATATTTTTCATGAGACATGTTCCATGTTTAGCAGATTGTTTCAGCTGTTCTTGGATCACTTGGGATCTCTAATACAGAAGGTGGTAGTGAAGGGATTGATGCTATGGTAATTGTCTATAACTTCCTACGGGTTTCTATAAATCTGTTTTTGATGTGAGCGACTTCCCTCTATTTGGCAGGGTCCTCTTCATGAGATGTTGTCTCGAAGTTCTGGTCCTGGCAGTGCAAGAGATTCGTCCGGAGGGAGATCTGTCACACCAAATGCTGTAGACCAGACATCTACTCCTTTGACTTCTTCACAACCAGCAGTATGTGCCATTGTTTCCATGATTTCTCATGCTACGCAATAGTTACGAGTAAGGTGTATCAAGTTTTTGCTCATGAGAACGCTATACTTTTGCCACTGCAGGCGATTCCAGATTCGTTGACAACTGTATCTGAATACCTGAATCATCTGAGACAAGAATTTGCTGCTAATGGTTAGACTAACTTCTAAATGTTTGGTTCTTTGTTGAGAACAAATGTCGAGAGCCTGACAGTGGAGCTGTTAATTTTACAGGTAGCAATGCTAATAATTTGCAAGATTCTGAAAATTTAATGGGCAATGTGCCAGATTCTGGTTCTACTACTGGAGAGAGTCGGATCCCAAGACCATCTCATTTGGCTGAAGTGCTGCAGTCGACAAGGCAATTGTTGATTGGTGGAGTAGCAGATCGTTTATCTGTATGCTCTTTACTTTCTCCTTTTTCCTTTTCTCTCATGCAGTCTTTTCAGAATGCCACTTAAGTCTTTGCTTAGTTTGACAAGTCTTAACCAATGTTAGTGGAAATTCTTGCATCGCTTTATGAAACCCAGATTAACTTATTTTTTCTAATTATAGTGCCCTGGGCACAACTGTTTCCTTTTCGTGAATGTTGCAATGTGAGAAATATTAAAGTTAGTACGGGTAGTTCAACATTAGTGACATGCAGTGTTTTTGCTATCTTTTTAACTGACTGACTTGAACTGGCATTGGTTACTCAAAGCCAGGGAAACAAGATTAACATTTTGTATCTTCCTTCTGCAGAATATCTCAAGGCAGCTTGAGGATCATGTAAATGTGACCAATCCGTCAACCCGAAGGTTGTGCCAGTCAAACATGCTTCATTCAGGATCCCTCTTGGAGAATTTAGGCATTTTACTCCTGGAGCTTGGCCGTGCCACCATGATGCTCCATTTGGGACAAACACCTGTGTGTATACTTTTATGATGCATAAGTTTGCTTATAATTTTGTTCACAGAACATGATGATCCCTTGTTATGTTAAATGTCAGGATGATGCTGTTGTTAATGCTGGGCCTGCAGTGTTCATATCCCCTACGGGACGAAATCCCTTGCTGGTCTGTCTCTCTGTTTTTCTCTCTCCTTTACCAGTGTGTCCACTTGTCCTTGTCACCCTTACCTTTGTGGCTACCGATCTAATTCTTGTAGTCTAACTCCTCTCGGATGGGGACAAGTATCGGAGGCTTACAAGCAGGAACCGCACATTCTAACCCTTTTGCTGCACAATCGCTTGCCTCTGCCCCAAGAAATATTGAGATAAGAATACGCACAGGTGCTATTCAGTTACTTAATTTCTAAGTAAAACCATTTTTTCCTGCCATGTTGAAAATATTCAGATTAAGTTCACTTTTTTCATCTTATTTATCTTGGTGATATGTATTAGGATCTTGGATGCCCTCCAGTGGGGGCAACCAGAGAGAAGAAAGTACAACACAACAAACTCCTGGGCAGTCAATCCCTTCTGCACCCAGCAGCATTAGTAATCCTGTTACCTCAATGAGAGGGCCATCTGAACCCACTCGTAATCCTGTGGCCTTAGTTATACCCGTTGTTGCTAGGTATCAGCAGGTATCTTCTGGCGACCGTAGCTCTACTGGATTGGATGGTGTACATCAGCCTGGTGCTGACTCCTCTAGGCAGCCACAGAGCGCCAGTACTCCAGGAAGAGAAGGTGGTTTTAACATGACTTCCGCACACTATTCTCCTGATTTATTTGTTGAAATGTTGAAAAGAGGAAACTTTACGTTGAGTGCCTCTTATCTCTACTGGGTTATCTCATTTTGTGTTTGATTTGATGTTTCTTTTTGCGGTTTTGGATTTGGTCTTCTTAGACCATGTAGATGCTGTGTCACCTTAACACAGGCTACGCCATAACTCTTTGCTTCTCTAACTTTGAACATGTAGGTGATAGCAGTTCTGCTGCTAGCGGTCGGGGTTTATCTGAATTGAGGAACAGAATCCATCAGTTTTTGAGGCCCTTATCTCGTCGAGAACATGTTCAAGTGGGGAGCTCCGAGCCTCAGGTTTCAGCAAATCCGCCTGCCACAGCATCCACAGAAACAAACGAAGCAGTTACAAATGCACAAGCGGAGCCGGCAACTGGAACAGATGAAGGGAATTTCATATCAAGTGTTCTCCAGCAGATCATGCCCTTTATATCTCAAAACGTTCCCTCAAGCTCAGTTGAAGGTGCAAGCAGAGGCAGCAGTAGCAGTAGACAAGCCTCTTCAAGAGAGGTATTTGTTATCTCCTTTGTTTCACCTTGGAAGCCTATGCAACATGTCATTAACTTGTGGAATTTGGTTTGGAGGGTTCGGTTAGTTAAGGGTATTATCTTTGAGCTATCGGTTGTGTTTACACAGATGAGTAGGAATATTAGCTGAAATATGGTAATCATCGAGTATTCATTCGATTGGGTTATTGAGTTGTGGTTGTGGATATATTTGAGGTGCAGGAGGAGGAAGGTGCGGAGCGAGGGAGTTCAAGTCGGAGACCGGAACCACCATCGGCTCCAGGGTCAAAACGTCAGAAGGTAATATTCAACTAGTCACTAAAGTTAGTTAGCTAATATACTTTGTTAAGTTTTACGTTAAAGATGTGATGGATGATATGCTTATGCAGAGAGAGTGAGAGATGGTTGGCGCAAAAACAGAAGAGTGGAAGCACACTTTTTGAAGAATGATAGTTTTTTTTTTCTTTTTATGATTCTGAGCTTTTGATTGCAGAGATGGTAGTAGTCTGTTTCAATGGTATTGGTGGTTGTTAACCAAAACATCTCCATTTATTTAATTATGTTATTTTCCTCAATATGTTCAGTGTTTTGGCAATTGGCACTCAATTATAAACACTTTAGGTGCATATATAAGATTTTATGGGAGGCACCATTCCCAAAAGAACATAAATTAGAAGTGTGAACACAAAAATGGGTCTTTGAATTGGTAAAAGTTCCACGCAAATGAGACTTAACTGGGTGACAGGAAATTTGGAATTAAAAGGAAATGAGCTGAATTTTTTTACCAATTTCACCATTTGAGAGTTGAGGAAAAGGTGAAATCAGTGTATAAGACAATATGTGGAATTATTTGTTTTTATCGTTGCAACACTACTTGTTTCTTCTCAATTATACGAGATCTATATATATAATTGTGAGGTCAAAAATCTTATGTGGCGGTCTCAACGAATTTAAGACTTGTTTTGCCGAAAATACAATTAATGATCGATTTATTTACATCCTTTGCCATTGAGTTATTTTTTGGGCCCAAAATAACACTAAAACGTTTGTATTATTATTGGACTTAAGGATTTTTTATTTAAAAAAAAAATTACGAAAATAATATTTTTTTAAAGGTCCATTACTTTAGTAAATATTTGTTAATATATTATTATATGATATAGTAAAACTTTATGGTAATTTTCAGTTAATATCTAATCATATATAGGAAATATTTTTTYATTTTWTTAGTGGWTGRGWTWTYWTTMTCAAATTGAAACCCTAACTTTTTCTTATCTTATTCTATAATTGTGAGGTGAAAAATCCTGCGTAGCGGCTTGAGAGTAATTTCTGAAAATCAATTTCTTTTTAATTAAAGAAAAACGAATTTATATTTATAAGGGCCTTATATATTTATTAAAGAAATATATATTCAAGATTTAGTAGTAATCTTCCATTATAAAGTTTTTGAATTGAAATCTTCCATATTTAGATATAGCCAAATTTACGGGTGAAAATCTTTCATAACTATATATAGATTATGTGCGGAAATCTCCTATAATTACCTATATATAATTATGAAAATCTTCCATAATTATCTATATATATTTTTGGGGCAATTGTAAAAATGCCTCTTAGGGATGTCTATTTGCGAAAATGCCACTACTTATGGATTTTTAAAGCCTAAATCTTAAAATTATAAACCCTAAAAAATGTTTTGACCCCTAAAACCCATTAAACCCTCAAAACTAAACCCTAATACAACATAATTAATCCAAACATAAATGATATAATGAATTTTTTTTGAAAAATCGCATTTTTGTAAAGATTTTGAAAATGTGCCACTTGAAAAGTGGTATTTTTTGAAATTTTTCTATTTTTTGTAATTATCTATATTTTTTTTTTTGTAATTGTAAGTTAAATATATTGAAATCTACCTAATCACATAACATGCCATCGAGTTTTTTTTTAACCAAAATACTATTATTTCGTTTGATTTATGCTAATTTGAGGAGAGCCTAATTTTAATTGATTTTGGCTCTATTTTCGTATGGTCTATATGTTTTAAATAAAAATATGTTTATTTTTGGATGTACTCGAAATTAATGGTAATCTTCCATTATTATCTTATCGTATATAAAAAATACTCTTTTTTTTTATTCGATGAGATATTATCGAATATCAGCGAAACCCTACCTCTTTTGTATATATATAGATCATTACTCGATCCATAATCATAGGTTTGGGATTTTATTATTTCTTTTAGTATTTTACAGGTTTTGATATTCTGTTGGTTTCTTCAATCTCTAATATATTATGTTCTAATATTTTTGATTATTTCGTATTTTTATGTTGTCTGAAAACTTT